CCTGTGTTCTGTTCCATTGGTCTATATATGTTTTGGTACCAGTACCATGCTATTTTGGTTACTGTAGCCTTGTATCATTTGAAGTCAGGTAGCATGGTGCCTCCAGCTTTGTTCTTTTTGCTTAGGATTGTCTTGGCCATGTGGGCTCTTTTGGTTCCATATGAAATGTAAAGTAGTTTTTTCCAATTCTGTGAAGAAAGTCAGTGGTAGCTTGATGGGGATAGCATTAAATCTATAAATTATCTTGGGCAGTATGGCCATTTTCACAATACGGTGCTCTACACTTTCAGAGAAACTTCTCTAGTGACGAACTATAGAAATTATCCCTGAAAGTATAGTCTTGGCATAACATAGATTTTATAAAACTCAGTTTTACTGCATGAACTGAATTGCCCATGTACACAGATCTCTGCCAAATGGTTTCTAGGATACCTAGCTGTATGTATTAATGAAATAATGCTACAGAAACCATATGAGAACATTACACATCTTTGATAGATTTCTGAAATAGTCATGCATCCTTTAACAACAGGGATATGTTCTGACAAATGTATTCTAAGAAATGCATCCTGAGGTGATTTCACCATTGTGCAGACATAGAGTGGACCACTGAGACTCTGTGGTTAGTCTATTGTTCCTAGGCTACAAACCTGTCAACCTGTTACTGTATTGAATACTACAGGTAACTGTAACACAATGGTATTTTTTTAAATCTAAACATATATAAATACCAAGAAGGTAATGTGTTGTGCTATGATGTCAAGATAGCTACATCACTAGGCAATAGCAATTTTTCAGCTCCATTTATAATTTTATGGGACTACCGAAATATATGCAGTCCCTAGATAACCCCAAATGGCATTATATGGTGCATGAGTAGCTTTCTATCACTTGGATTTATTGTATGATTTGGTTCCGATTGTTAAATATATTGAAATTGATTTCTTATTTTCAGACTACTATCCATTCAATTGAAATTTTTATAAGGGTCTAGATTCTAATGAAATTTTAAGCTTAAAAACTCAATCTCAATTATTAGTAAAAAGCAATTTTAAAAAATCATTAAAAATCAGCTCATAACAACATATTGTTTATGTTCAGCATGTTCAAAAGAAAGCTGCAGAATGGAAAATCAAGATAGATATTATAGCAGGTAAGACAAATCTCAATCCTAATATCCAAAAGGGCCAACATGCATTCGCCCAACCAAAACTTTCATGCAGGTGCTGAGAAGATCTACTATAAAGTATGCTTTGCAGTGTGGCAAAATGTGCGTGATTGGTAATAGATTGGAAATGGAGTAAAAGCAGAGTGATCACTTAGCTTAAGACTGTCCTAATTTATGCAATTTACTGAAAATTTCTAATAGCACTCAGGTATTTGGTCACTCCAGACTCAGGCGGAACACTGTATAGCAGCACAATGGCTAAAAACATGGGCTTGGGGCCAGGCATGGTGGCTCACGCCTGTAATCCCAGCACTTTGGGAGGCGGAGGTGGGCAGATCACCTGAGGTTTAGAGTTCGAGACCAGCCTGGCCAACATGCTGAAACCCCATCTCTACTAAAACTACAAAAAATTAGCCGGGCATGGTAGCGCACACCTGCAATCTCAGCTACTTGGGAGACTGAGGTGGGAGAATCGCTTGAGTCCCAGAGGCAGAGGTTGCAGTCAGCTGAGATTGTGCCACTGTTCTTCAGCCTGGATGACAGAGGAGACTCAGTCTCAAAAAACAAAAACAAAAACAAAACAAACAAACAAAAAAAAAACGTGGGCTTGGATTTGGTCAGATCTTGGTTTGAAATTCATTCATGGAAAATGCTATCAGATTATTTCCGGATAATCTTTCTGATTTCTTTTTTTTTTTTTTTTTTTTTTGGGAGACAGAGCCTTGCTCTGTTACCTAGGTTGGAGTGCAGTGGCAACCTCCACCTGCCGGGTTCAAGCGATGCTCTTGCCTCAGTCTCCCGAATAGCTGGAACTACAGGTGTGCACTACCATGTCCAGCTAATTTTTTATCTTTAGTAGAGACAGGGTTTCACCACATTGGCCAGGCTGGTCTTGAACTCCTGACCTCAGATGATCCTCCAGCCTCTGCCTCCCAAAGTGCTGGGATTACAAGTGTGAGCAACCGAGCCTGGCCTCTAATTCCATTCTCTAATTGCCCCTGGAATCAAATAACATTTATCTTTTTCTTCTAAATATCAACACTATGAGTAAATCATGTTTAATACATTTTTATTACTAAATTGGGTAATAGTCACAAACATCAAAACAGGAAAAGCATATAACTAGAAGCTAATTATAATCTAAGCCCAAAATAAGAGTGCAATAAGGGAACATGTTTTTTCACAATAGACAATGAATTGCCACTGTAGTGTTAAACATACAGCTGGATATTACTATTCATAATAATAATGTAACATATACATCTGTTCATCTTCCTGTTATTTTCAGTGTTGCATTACTTAGACAGTTTTAGGGGTGTTTTTTCTGTTTTTGTTTTTTGAGATGGAGTCTCCCTCTGTTGCCCAGGCTGGAGTGCAGCAGCCCGATCTTGGCTCACTGCAACCTCCACCTCCTGGGTTCAAGGGATTCTTCTCCTGGCTCAGCCTTCATGAGTGGCTGGGACTACAGGCGCACCACCACACCCAGCTTTTTTCTAATTATTTTTGGTAGAAACGAGGTTTCACCATGTTGGCCAGGCTGCTCTTGAACTCTTCACCTCAGCTCATCTGCCCGCCTTGGCCTCCCAAAGTGCTGGGATTAGAGGCGTGAACCACCACACCCAGCCAGTTTTAGGTATTATATGCAGTATGGAACACCTTAGAACAGTCCCAGTAGTATACCGAGCCAGAGCCTTGCTCCTCCAAATGTGGTCCTCAGACCATCAGCATTAAAATCCCTGGGATTTCCTTGTTAGAAATAAAGAATTTCAAGCCGGGCGTGGTGGCTCACGTCTGTAATCCCAGCACTTTGGGAGGCTGAGGCGGGCAGATCACAAGGTCAGGAGATCAAGACCATCCTGGCTAACACAGTGAAATTCTGTCTCTATTAAAAAATACAAAAAAATTAGCCAGGCATGGTGGCGAGCACCTGTAGTCCCAGCTACTCTGGCGGCTGAGGCAGGAGAATGGCATGAACCTGGGAGGTGGAGCTTGCAGTGAGCCCAGATTGCACCACTGCACTCCAGCCTGGGCGATAGAGCGGGGCTCCATCCCAAAAAAAAAAAAAAAAAAAAATTTCAGGCTCCACCCAGACCTACTGAATTAGAATCTGCATTTCAACAAGATCCCCAGGTGATTTGATTGCACATTAAAACTTGAAAGCTGTGACATACAGGAATAGACTACTGCCATCCCTCTAAAATAGATCAGTAGTAAAGAGTTTGGAGAATCTACATTATTCTTTAGAAGGAAGAAATATGAAAAACTAGTTTTCGTTTTAGAGCTTAGGAGGAAAATGGGTACTTACTACAATTATTAAACTCTAGGTAAGAAAATTTTGAAATAAGCATGGTTATGAGATTAAGTTAGCTACAGACTATTAGGAAATTAAAAATAGAAAGGTGCCATCCTTTTCATAGGATTTACTTTTTGGTCCACTTTTTATCCTTCTAAACTCTTCACTTGTAACCTCAAATTTCAGTATAAATGGCCATAATAACAGAAATGCCAAGCTGCCATGGCCAATGCTGGGAATATAGCAAGTCACTACTTGGATAAGTTAAAGGTTCTAAAATGTTCAGTTTACCAGCACTTAATACTTTTCTTAGTTTTTTGTTGTTGTTGTTTAGTCAAGGGTGGTAAATGCTTGGAAATATAATTTTATCCTTAGGTGGCTTTTGTTTTACAGAGCTTCGATATGACCTGCCAGCATCATACAAGTTTCATAAAAAGAAATCAGTAAGTCTCTTGATTTTGGCTGGTCTACATTCGGTATTGAAAAGTTTTCTGGGCCGGACGTGGTGGCTCATGCCTGTAATCCCAGCTACTCGGGAGGCTGAGGCAAGAGAATCGCTTGAACTCAGGAGGCGGAGGTTGCAGTGAGCTGAGATTGCCCCACTACACTCCAGCCTGTGCAACAGAGTGAGAGTCAGTCTCAAAAAAGAAAAAGAAAAAAAAAAAGAAAAGCTTTATGACAAGTAATTATTTCTAGTGTTATCAACTTTCCTGTGTAAATATAGAAAGACAGCCTAGGAGACACCGTAAATGGCCTGTGGGAAGGGCCCATAGTCAACAGCTAATATTCTAGTTCTTTATTAAATGCTCTGGGTACAAAAAGAAAAAAAAAAAAAACTGTTTTTGCTCTTTTCATATAGCATATATTTTATTAGTTTGTACTAATACATTCTCATATTACAAAGGCAATTTAATGGAAGAATCTTCCTTTTGATATTTGAATCATCTGAAATAACACAAACAGAACTATACATTCAAAGAAATCTCATTTGCATAACAAAAAGACAAGTTAAACAACAACAAAAAATTTTTCCTTTCTCACAGGTGGACATTGAAGTGGACCTAATTCGGTTTTCCTTTTAAAAGCCCCCGCAAACAAAAGTAGTTTAAAACCTATTTAAAATGAATAAAAAATTGGTTTACTAAACTACTGGTCTCCAGCACCATTTTCTGTTTTCTGTTGTTTGGATGCAGGTTCTTCTTTGTCTGTTTCTTCTCTTGCTCTTTTCACAGGTCCTATAACGTAACAATTAATTTTTGTTAAATTCAACATAAGTACTGCTCTATTTTAATACTGAGTACAATTACTAATAATGATACTGTTGAAAAAGATTCAACAACTTCCTTGCACCAATGAGAAAAGGCTTTTCTCTTAGTACAGACCTGACCTCTAGATTCATCTTCCAAATATCCTGTCCCTGACTTATACAACAGCATAACGAAGGTAAATCATAATAATCCAAGAATGGCACTTATCCAGAAGTTGAAAAACCAAATCCCTATTCTCTGGCAAATCATTTATTTATGGAAGTACAAATTTTCTCATGAAACTACCAAAGGACTTAGGAAAAAACTTACCAGTTGCACCATTTTCATCATGTTCATCATCACTAGCAAATTTCGTTTTCTTGCCCTGAAACTGTACTTTTCCTTTACCAGACCCAGGCTGGGCAGCTTTATTACCCTTTCCTTTTCCTTTAAATCTACGACCTGTAGAGACACAATTGAGCACTCTGTAAAGAATATTTTTTTAAGTCTCTTGTCAATGTTTTTGAACACTGATTAAAGTTTTTGCTGAAGTAAATGGGTTCAACCACCAAACTGTTAAAGAAAAATCAGAATAAATGACCTTTTGACTTCCATTTGTTTAGGGATTCTTGTTGGTCTTCTATTATTTTTTTCAGTGCTTCTTTTTCCACCTCTCCTTCTAGTACTTCCCAAGTCACTTCTTTGTTCCTTAATTGTAGGTTACCATTATTTGCATCTTTGGCTTTACCCAAAGCTTCCTTGGCTTTTTCTTTAAATAGAATTATCCCCTATACCAGAGACAGAAAACAAAAGCCATACCCTTAGTTTTTTAGTCCCACAATTAATTTCTTTGTTCAAAGTAATTTTTTCTACCCTGCAAACCTTCCATGCCTTTACCAGTTTGAATGAACTTTACTGAACAGTAGAAAAGGAATGCTACAGAAGTAAAACTGCAATAATCAATATGAACAGTTATTCATAGTATAATTCAGAAACTCAGACATCACATATAGTGACAATAACAACAAAGTAAATGATCAAGTAGAAACTAGTATAATTCAGAAAATATCAGACATCACATCTAGTGACAATAACAACAAATGATCAAGTAGAAACTAATTTAATAAACACAATTTTAAAAATTGCTTTCTACTAATTTTGTCTAAGTTTCTACTGATTTTCAGACTGACTGCTAAAAAGCATAGGAATGTTTCCATACCTCTTTTGCTCCTCTGACGAAGTCTATCCATTTTATTTCACCATGATTTGAGAAAAGTATGTGTAAATCTTCTCTACAGGTCTGATCATCTAAATCACCTGAAAATTTCAGCAAGCATCCAATCTTTTCTTCTAGAGATTTCTATAAAAATATACAAAGCGATCAAAAAGTTG